AAGATGACTGCTTTTTTCATACAACAGTAGTACTACTCCTTTCACGTTCCCGGACCCAATTCCAATACTTTGCAGGGGAGTGTGGAGGAGGGAGTGTTCCCTCACGCAACACCAAACAATTCTCAAACACCAGCAGGGTATTGGAGAACTCAACTCAATTCTGATGCTATCTGCCTGGAGACAGCACCAGATTCCCCATATCAAGGGCTCCGTCCTACAAGACTGCCCTCCACCGCCATTCCAGACGCCAGCCACAAGTCCCAAGCAGTTACCTGTGCTTCTGATCTACCAGCTACATCTTAACAACCTTACCCTTAGATTCGATTAACTTGTTAGAGCAGCTCACAGAACTCAGGAAAACACTCAGCATTTATCAGTTTAATAAAGGGATACCATGAAGGATACCTGTTAACAGCCAGATGAAGAAATACATAGGACAAGGTCCCAAATAAAGGAGCTTCTATCCTTGTGGAGCTCGGGGCCTGGCTTGGTGTCATGTGGACATGTTCTGGTTCCCCAAGCGTGGAAGCTCGCTCTGACAGAGGCAGAATGCAAGAGAGCGTTATGCTCTTCTCAGCAATTTTTGTGAAGGTTTGATTGCATAGTCGTGACTGACTAACTCACTGGCCAGTTGGCTGATCCAACCTCCAGTCCCTGCTCCAAAAGTCTCTCATTAACATAACAAGACACCCATTTCACCTTTAAGGCTCTGAAGTGTTTCCAGGAACTGTGGATGAAGACCAAAAATACATATTTCTTGTAACTCATTATATCACAATGACTAAGAGTACTCCGGGCAAAGGAGAAGGCATTGCAGGCAATGTGGAGGAGCAAGAATGAAGTTGGTGAGGAAAGCAATATGAGTGAGAGAATTCCATGGTCTTGTAACTAGGAACTTCTTAAGGATTAAAGTACAGATTAAAAACCAGGGAAGGAGTTTGGAGTATTTTCTATTTTCAGTGAGAAACCACTGAACATTTCTGAGCAAAATACTATAGTAACTTTGCTTCTGAAAAATTAAGCTGGAAGCAGTGTGGAGGCTGTCTGGAATTGGGGAACTGAGTTCAGATTGGAAGATTAGTTGATGAGGTTACAATGAGTTGTTTATATGGGCCCAGAACTCACATCCCTTTCTTTTAGAATAGAAACTTGACTTTCCACAGGGGAATCATTCCTCTGCCACTTATTCTGGTCCATGAAGTCCCAAGAAAATATTCCCCTGCCCCAGGATCCAGTTGGCGACATAACTTAGACTAGACTGAGCAGTATTATATTGCTGATTATAATAAGAACAGGAATATAACTCAAGTCGGTCCACAAAGAGTAAGCCCCAGCGTTTTTGTTTAAAGTTGCTGAGTAAGTTTCCTGTAGAAACATCTGCCTTAGAATGAAGTCAACACATTGGGAACAAGAGCCCACAGATAAGAACAAATTCTGGTTTAAGCACCTACACTTGGCCATCCCTGAACCAATACCACTCCCCGGATTTTTTACTAATATAAGTCAATATATTTGTGAGACAGAGACGGTGAGTGTAGTCAGAGCAGCGTGAGAGCCTCTGGGAAAAGCAGAGCAGAATATTTACAGTCAGAGCAATATAACAATGGGCAAAGAAGTCCCCACTGAAACTCTGTTGAGCATTATGCAAAGTCAAGGTCACACTAATTCTCTAGGAGAAGATACCTAAGAATATAGACATATTCAGTTAAAGGTCAAAAGGCCAGGAGCAACTTGGCCTGGAAAGTTGGAGTGTTCTGCAAGAGTATCAACATAACCCATGACTCCACTGTGAGCCCTAGCAATCAGACTTTGACCCAGCCCACCTTGACAGGGCAGGTGATGCAAGTCCACACCCCTAAGTTTTTTTCATGTTCTCGAAAAATCCTCAACTGCCTATAAAACCCCCTAGACAACGCACCACTACGGATTCTCTTGTCCCCTCCTGGCGTGAGGCGGGAACTCTGTCCTTACACTGTATCTCTAAATAAAAGCCTGTACCTTGCTCTCCTACCTTGAGTGTTTGTAAAGTTCATTCTTCAGCTTCAATGAACAAGAACCCCAGCATCATTTGGAAATGGAGGAAAAAAATAAAGCTTCCTGAGGAAAATTCAGGAACAGAATTCCTAGGACTTGGTGACCACTTAGATACGGGAAATGAAAAGGGAAGTATTAAATTTCACTCTTAGGTTTTTGGCTTAATTAAGTGGAAAATGCTATTAACTGAGATTGGAGAACAGAAAAGGCAAAGGTTTTGGTCAATGGAATGAGTTTAGTTTGGAGACACTAAAAGTATCTTAATACTTAAATTCTATCTCTACCTGGATCACTGTACCAGGAACACTGTGCTTGTAGCAGCTGGGTTCCAAGCACAGAAGTAGACTGCATAGCCCAAGGCAGCCTAGGATGACAGAGAAATGCTAGAAGAACCATTCCTTTAATTGTTCAGTAATTTCACCAGACAACCTCCAAACAGCCAGCATTTAGGAAACCCTAGAGAAAGTGTAGTATCATCCCTAAACACTACAGCATTTTGCTAGGGCAAAAACTAGCTAGATGGAAAGCAATAGGGGATCCTATGACATAACTGCACTCCAACAACGAAGTTAAAAGCTAGGACAACACCCCAGTCCACAGAATACTGAACTCAGAGAAGCCATGGAAGGCGAAAAAGCTACACAACTGAAAAGCAATGCGAACAGCACACACCCTCCTCATTTCAAGGAAACTGGGGAGGGCACGGAAGTAGGCATTTTTTGCACTTAGTACATATCAGGCACTCTATGAGGAGCTTCATGCACATTATCTTCTAGGATCCTCACTTCCCAGTCAGGAAGGCACTATTCTTTCCACTCAAACAGGATGAGCCAAGTTAAGCAGTAGAGCTAAGATTCAAATGCAGGTCTATCTGGTTATAAAGATTATTTATGCACATTTCACTAATCAATTGCTCTCAGAAAATATGAAAAATTTTATCCTTCATCTGTAAAAATGATGTCATCTCATCCAGGAAGATTTTTTTCTGAATTGGGTTTGACTATATAAAGGTTAGGTTTGCAGTGACCCAGCTGCAATGCCTCAATTCTCAGGCACAAGGCATGTATATACCAGTTGTCCTATTTAGAGCTAAGAAAGCCATCAGTGTCATGAAATCTCACTGAATGCATTCTGAGTTAACCAGCCACTGAGAGTAGGCTATAGCAACAGTATGAGTGACTTTGTGGGGATAAACCACTGAAATTAAGTGTTGACTAGAGTTCCTTGATTAAGAGGCAAGCACGTTAAGAATAACAGAAAAAAAGATAACCTGCAAAGGTTACTTGCTTGAATGACAGGCAAAGGATGCTATAAAATTCACTATATTATACATTTCTTTGTCCAAGTATATTAGCATAGTGAGAGGCAGCACAGTGTAAGCATTAAAAGTGCATACTCTGGAACCAGACTGCCTGGGTTTCACTGTATGATGTTGGTAAGTTATTTATCCTGTCCGTGTCTCAGTGGCCTCATCTGTTAAAACGTGATAATATTAGCACCTCTCTCAAGCTGTTATGAAGATTAAAATAAATTAGTATTTGTGAGGCTCTTAAGCAATGCCTGGCACATGGTAAGCAAGTGTTGGTTAAATACATTAAATAACTAACTAACCCAGTTAGATGGGGAGGGAATCTGAACTTTAATTTCCAACCTAGTCTCTCCCACATTAATTGGTAGAGGAAAATAAAATTAATCCTAACATTTGTTTATAATTACATGGGACCTTTTTATGGACATCTGGAGGAAGAATAAATTGCCAGACATCTGGAAGAAGAATAAATAGCCAAATATACATAAGCAGAAACTGAAACTGGAAAAGGGAAGTAAGATGTTCAGTTTCACTGAACACATCATTCAGAGCACTCAGGCAAGAACTCAAAGTCTAGTCAGTTCAGGTTTTGTACAGCAGGCCACAAGCTAACTGTGCACATAAAAGAGTACCACCCTTAAAAACAGCCAGGTCTTCACCCAGGGACAACATCTCATTAATTTTCCCTTGTTGATTATTTTCTTGGAGGTAGAATATTCTACCTCCAGTCTCCAGAACCCAGCTGCTCCTGAAACCATCATTTATCTCAATGTTTTTAAAAGTCAAACAAGAATCTCTTAAGCCACATTTCTGCTCTATCCTGTCACCATTCCAGATTCCTAAGAGGTTTAGACCAGAGTTATTAGTGATGCAAACCCTAAATATGGAAAGTACCATGAAAGAGTACAAGTCACCATTTAGTCAAAGTAGGTATTTAAATCTTAAATCCTCTCATTTCTAGAAGGTATGAACTCGATAGCAACAGTTCCATATAAATAAATGGGAAGTTGCTTAGTTGCATGTGGAGAAGTGAAGAGTTTGCAGATGAAAAAGAAATAACAGAGAGATCCTGACATTCTGACGTGGATCCAGCATTAACTAAAGGTACACACACAATTTCTAATCTAATTAGAAGCGCCCTCCCCCACACCATTGCCATTACAATCGTTCCACTTTTATACACAGGCCCTCCTTCCCGCCTTCTTTCTCACACTCATCTTTGCCTAAGCTTCTTTCCAAACCACTCATAACGCCTAACTTTTGCTCCCAGCCTTCTCAATATTGGCTCCAGTTGCTGTCAACGCAAGTTACATTCAGGGCATCACTCTTGTGCTCTACTCTTATCTATACACTCCGGCCTATAAATTCTCATTACAGCATTTCTCAATATTCACCTTCTATCCCGCAGTCTTGTAGTCTGCACCCACTCACTGCCTATCCACCCTCCCTCACCCTCACTAAACCCGTTTCCTCGTCCGTCCTGTCCACGCCCTGTCCGTCCCCCTTCTCAGAATTTCTTCCCAAACAAGTCCACAGCAGTTGCCCTCAGGAATGTCGCTCCCGGCACTTCTCCCTCGTGCTCTCCGAGCCCTCCAAAGCCTGCCGGTGCTTCCGCGCATCCATCTTCCCCCGACTCCCCGGCCTCTTCCCAGCCCACCTGCTCTCCTCCGGCAGGAGTCCCTCAGAGCCGCTGAGCTCCATTCCCGCGCCCTCCGGACGCATCCGGGGCTGCGATGTCGCTTCCTCTCTCAAGAGAGGCGTCCTTGCCGCTTCGCCCTTCAGGGCTCCGGGAGCCCCGCGGAAACTGCGGAGAAACCCACGGCGGGTAGGCTCAGGGTAATGCACTACGCCCAGACTGACAGCAGCGAAGGAGACTGCTGCCTGGGCTGCGGCTTCAGTCCCCGCCACCCCCACTTCCGGCTCCAAGAACCACAACTCCCAGCAAGCACTTCGACCGCTCCTCCCGGCATGCGCCACCCTATCCAATTCCGAGGCCGCGCTCGGGGCGGATGCACCCTAATGGCGTGCTTGCGGGTGTGCACCCGGCGGGCAACAGGGTCTGAGACACCTGCCAACGCTAGTCTCAGGAGTCCCTACTGTTGTGGGACCCTTCCACACTTCTCTGTCACATTTCATCCTTGGGGCCAGACTCAGTCAGAAGTCCAGGCTTAATCCAAGCACGGCTAACCCCATTTCAGCCTATTGGGTTTAATATCTCCTGGGTAGTGTTTGGGGGACCTCAAGCATTTTAATGAAGAGCTCACGTACTGTGAGGAGTACAGGTTCTTTGGGATCACAAAGGAAGAGCAACAGGGAAGGGCTTTTGGGAAAGGTGTTCTGGAGGATTGATGTCAGAGTAGAGTTTTTAAGGATGAGAAAGAGTTGAGTGATGTTTTGGGAACTGCTGGCTCTGAGCAGTAATCAGAGCTAGGAAGTGGTGAACAGAACGGTGTGCGTGCGCAGGTGGACCAGATCATGAAGTACTATTCTAAGTTTTTATTTTATCCTGCGAGCAATTAGGAATAAACCAAGAGGTGGTTTGATCAAACCTGCTTAGAAAGCTACTTTTGAAAATGTGGAGAGGGACTGGAGTATGTACTATGTTGAAGGTAAGGGCAGAAGATTGGATAAGGGCAGGTTGGAAGTGCCTATAGGGGCCAAGCAGGCAACTGACAAAGAGTGAAGTGAGCCAGTTGTAGGAGAATGGCAGAAACTGTCTGAAATTCATGAAAACCTCATGCCTCATCCAAAAAGGAAAGTCCCACCTTAGCTACAATTAAATGTCAAAAGAGCAGAAGGGCATAGAGTTGTCAGATATTCTGATTTTTCAGTAGAGGCTGGAATTTTTAAAATCACAATTCCAAGTTTTGAAATATTGAGAACAAATTTTTAAAAATGTAAACATCGAATTGAATAAAGCGACACAAAGTCTCAGTCATAATATAAATAAATTAGCACCAGGATGAAAGTACAGCATAGAGAATATAGTCACTAGTTCTGTAACATCTTTCTATGTTGATAGGATTTAATAATGTAGATAACTGTTGAATCACTATGTTGTGTACCTGAAACCAATATAATACTGTATTATCAACTATACTTCAATAAAAATGTAAACATAACACAGGCCAAAAAAGTCTGAAGGCTAAATATGGTCTTTGGGTTATAAATTTGTAAGTCCAAGCCTATATTAGGGCAGTGGCTGTAGGGAGCAAGGAGTTTGGGATTAGAGCAAAGGTAAAGCAGTAATCAGCAGTACTCTGAGGGAGGGATCTAAGTTAATTCCATGCAAAACTAGTTACTTTACTAAAGATAATAAATGACTTTCAGGAAATTTCAAACTTAAGAAAGCTTTTTTTATGTGACTGTAAAGTGAAATGAAAGCGCCTTTCAGTGAAATTATCATTTCCAACTTCCATGTTCAAATTTTCATATTTTCCTACTAAAGGGCTATACTTTTTAAGAAAGAGCCAGTGTTACTCATTGGGATTTCAGTACCTCCTGTTCCTACAAATGTGTAAACTTCACTTTTAGCATACACTATAATCCCAAATTAATGCCACATGACCTTAATAAATGTATACATAAAAGCTTTATCAGGAAATTCTAAAACTAAAATTGTTGTAATAGTTCTGAAAAACAGGATTTTTCTCATATGTCCAAGTTGTAATATAAATTAGCACCAGGATGAAAGGACAGCATGGAGAATATAGTTAGTAGTTCTGTAACATTGTTCTATGTTGATAGGATTTAATAATGTAGGATTTAATAATATAGATAACTGTTGAATCACTATGTTTTATACCTGAAACCAATATAATACTGTATTATCAACTATACTTCAATAAAAATGTAAACATAACACTGGCCAAAAAAGTCTGAAGGCTAAATGTGGTCTTTGGGTTATAAATTTGTATGTCCAAGCTTATATTAGGGCAGTCCAAGTCTGGACATATTACATGTAAAATAAATAAGCAGTCATTTAATAAGTATGACAATAACCTACACTACCTATATGCCTCTGTCCCAGCCCTATGCTTTCCCTTACCCCAGGCAGCCATATGCTGAATCCTTTGTTTATGATTTCACTGCTTCTCTTTTTTTATATAGTTTTTTTGCATCTATCTATACTCCTAAAAAAGTATTATTTAAAAAATTTTTGTGTTTTAACTTTATTAAAAGGGTATTAAGCTATATTTATTCTTTGGGACCTTATTTTTTTCCTTAATATTACACTGATAAGATTTATTCATATTGTTATGTGTCACTATAGTTAATTGATTTTGACTGCTAAATAACAGTCCATTGTGTGAGTACACTAGTTTATTCATGCTGTCTTTCACTGATAGGCATTTGTATTGCTTCCAGGTTTTCACTTTTGGAAACAGTGCTGCAGTGAATATTCTTTTACATATCTCCTCGTATATATAAGCAATGATTTCTCTTGGGTACATTAATAGAAGTGGAATTGCTAGATTATAGGGTTATTGTTTTTCTCTAGCTTTTGTTTTGAGTGGTAGATTTCAAGGTACACAGTTTTAAAATGAATTAGTTATGAAATCATAATTATAATCAGTTATTTAACATAATTAACTAACCAAATGAAAACAAGCTATGCATGGAAAATGATGAGTCTGTCATGAACCAAGATTAGGATTAATCCTATTTTGTGCATCTGGGGCACAAATGCAAAAAAATTGTCAAATATGCAAACAAATCTAGCATCAGCGTTCAACAACTGTCACAGAACTGTAACGGCCTTACTGAACAATGGATTGCTGAATCAATATTTTAAAAGTCAAAAATCCTGAAGAAGTTTATTTGGTCTTCAATCTATTTGTTTACAAGCCCACCAGGATGTTATATTTTACAAACAGTAATAGGTCCTAGAGTACCACTGGTAGAAAGCCAGTTTCACTTGAGAATCAATTATTCAAATAATGGATTTTTAAAACTCATTACATGTACCTATTTGCCAAAAATTTGGTTTTAAGAAATCCTTGAATATATCCAACAAATATCAGTTGTAGTCATGAATGTGTTTTATTTTACCTACTAAAATTAATCTTAGCAGCATTTTTTTAAAAAACTCAAATTTTAAAAGCTAAGGGATATCTCCCACTGGCCAAGTTAAAAACAATTTGAGCAGCAAAAGTAGTTAATTAATGATATGTATACATATCTACTTTTTCCAAAGGTAAACACAACCCTTACATTCTTTTCACCTTTGCTTTTCACAAGAGAATTTTTTTACACACAATGAGTGTGTGAATTTCTACAGAAACTTATATGTATACACAAATAAGTGTGCAAATAAATAAATAGAAATAGGAAGGAAGAAAGTGGGGGAGCTCTTTTTCACATGAATGTAGAGGAATGACAGAGTTAAAAATCACTTACTTTATAGCCCCATAGTAATAATTGATTCAGGTAAGAATCATCAATGGATGCTAAAGTCACCAGTGAAATTTTTTTCACAACAGGATATTTACATAGTCTTAATCTATCTCCCCAAAGATTTATTCATTATAAATGAGTAAATAAAAGGTACCTTTACAATGGAGAAATCTGGCAGATATCACCTTAACCAAGTGATCAAAGTTAAGATCGCCAGTAAGACAAAGTGACATCATGTACCTCCTGAGGTTAAGTGCTGAGAAGGACACATCACTTATGTAGTATTTCTGATAAAAGTGAATAATTTGATCTCATCACAGACTAAGAATAAGACCAAACCAAAATGGAAGGACAATCTATGCAACAACTGCCTTCAGTCTTCAAAAAATGTATATCATAAAAACTAAGAAAGGCTGACAAACTTTTTCAGATTACAGACAAAAGAGGCAGGACAAAGAAATGCAACATGTGAAACTGGCTTGGATCTTAGATTGGGAAAAAATATTGTAAAGGATAATTGTTTATTTATTACAGTAATTGGTAACATTTGAGAATGTGCTACACACCAAAGAATAGAATTGCATCAATGTCAAATTACCTGGATTTGATCATTTTAGCATGCTTATTTAAAAGAATAACCTTAGAGATATATTCTGTTGTCATACTGTCTGCAACTTACTCTCAGATTGTCCAATAAAAACAAATAAAACTATTAACAAATCTATCCATATACAGATCTTCCTTGATTTACAGTGGGGTTACATCCCAATAAACCCATCATAAGTTGAAAATATCATAAATGAAAAAAATTTAAATACACCTAACTTATACCAAACATTATAGCTTAGCCTAGCCTACCTTTAACATGCTCAGGACACCTACAGTAGCCTACAGTTGGACAAAACCATCTAATGCAAAGCCTGTTTTATAATGAAATGTTGACTATCTCATGTAATTTGCTAAATACTGTACTGAAAGTGAAAAGCAGAATGGCTGTATGAGTACAGAACGATTCTAAATATATCTATCTGTCATCTATGGAGCTGCAACTTGCTGCCCTATCCAGCCTCACAAGAGACTATTGTATGACATTAATGCTAGTCTGGGAAAAGATCAAAACTTGAAATGTGGTTTCTTCTGAATGCGTATTGCTTTTACACCTTTAGAAAGTTCAAAATTCTAAGTCAAACCATCCTAAATTGGGGACCATCTGCACAGATAAAGTAAGTGTGGCAACAGTTTAATAACTGGTGGATCTTGGTGAAGGATATATAGGTACAGCACTACTTTTACAACCTTTCTCTAGATTTGAAAATAGACAAGGATTTTAAAAATCCTTCAGAAAATAGGTGAGGATCTTAGTATGGTTTTGCTTTACTATGGCTGCATCCCAATCGATATAACCAAAATTTTAGTTTCACATGGAAATTTCATTTATAATGATTAGTTTTTAATATATTTTGAAGTTAATTTCTGCTTTTCCACAGGTTGCACTTTCAGTAGTCTTTAGC